CTTCTGGTTAGCAGTCAAGTGCCTTAGGCACTATGCTACTAGAGCTCCTATAATTAGAAAAGTAAATTTCTTTCAGGCACTAATATCAATTTACTTAAAATCCGAGGTCATTAGAATACCATGTCCTTTTCTTCAAAACCAAATTTAATTATTTCTTCAAGTAAGCAAATGTCTAAAAATACAGCATCTACAAGCCAAACTCTGGCTGTGTCCTTTGCTTTAAGAGGTTTACAAACACAGTTTGAGAAAATCGTCTCAAGTGGCCTAACTAAAAGGAAAAGAAAAACCTTTGTGTTTCTTAAAAGACAAAATCTCAAGCAAAGCAGCTAAATACTTCCTCTCCCTCCATGTTCTCTATGTTGGCTTCTCCCGGAAGATGACCGTGTCACACGATAAAGATTAACTTACCAAGTCCAAGTAACACAGTAGTAAATCCCTTTTACTACTCTTCAAGATTTATTTGCTACATTTCCAAATGTTTACCACTCTTGTTTTAAATACTTCAAATTAAGAGAAGAGTTATATAGCAACAAGCCATTAATACTAACTTTCATTCGCTGTGAAGTTTGAGCAGTGCTTCCTGTATCCTTCTGATGGTGGTTTCCTGCCAGCCATAGTACAAGTAACTGTTCATAGGATTATACTTACTGCTTTGTTTCTGTTGGAAATGTGTTTTATTTTCTTTATAAAATAATGGGTAATCTTTAAAATTGATTTTAGGTGGTTTGAGGCATTACACCACAAAAGTAATGAGCACTAATGCCAATGATACTGGACACAAATTCATTTTAGCTTTATTTCATGTCTAAAGCAATTCTACTGAACCTTGAACTGCTCACATGCTGTTATTAACTTGCTAGTAACCTAACACATGGGTATAGCAAACATAAGTGATCAGAGTCCAGGTTGAGCGGGACCTCAAGGCTACTGTCCTTTTTCTTGAGCTATAATTCAATTTCCAATTTTACTGTACATTAGACTCATTATTTGCAAGGGCTTTCTTTTCTGCTTAATGCTGCCATCTGGAGGACACAGAGGTAAAGAGAGGACGCTGAAGATACCCAGCTCACAATTCAGACAAGGGAAAGAGATGTAGGGGGAAATGGAACACGTGAACAGCCACACAGGCACAGGGCACAGGGTTCAAATACAGTGAGTCTGATCAGCAGAGGCTGGCTTTTTTGAATCGCCTTTCTCTGGCTAGACTTAATGCCACCATACTCCATGGGTAAAAACCCACTGCCCTCGAGTCAATTCTCACTTATTTTAGCAGGTGGCGTAGTGCCTAAGGCATATGACTGCTAACCAGAAGGGTGGTGGTTCAAACCCACCAGCCACTCCTCAGAAGGAAGATTGGGCAATCTACTTCCATAGAGATACCGCCTCAGAAACCCAAGGAGGGGTTGCCATGAGTCGGATCTGATTTGACAGCAGGTGAGTTTGGTATTTTTCATTATAGGATAGAGCAGTACTACCATACTGGATTTCCAAGGCTGTTGTCTTTACAGAAGCAGACTATCACAGTCTTCTACTGCAGAGCAGCTGGTGGGTTTGAACCACCGACCTTTTAGTTAGTAGTCTAGTGCTAAACCATTGCACCACCAGGACTCCTTACACCATAGGTATAAATTTTAAATAAGCAAAAATAATTTTTTAAAATGTATTTGTGCTTTTTATTTTATAGTCAGATATTTCATTCTGAGATTTAAAATAAAAAATTTTCAGTGCTTTCCCAGCTGGTCTGGTGAGCATAGTTAGTTCATTAAGTAATCTACGGTTTACTGTACGTCAAAGAGTGTTGTGAGGGCCACTATAATAATGTTAAATCTTACTTTTTTTTCCTTAGTCATATTTATGCCACATTTTCCACAAACAAATCTAACAGCAGAAAATCAACTTCAAACTTAATATAGAGTATTGTGTAAAACAGTCAATAAAATGCCATTTTAGAAGACTCCATAAAAACAAATGTATATGATTGTTAAGCCTTTATAAAAGGATCAAAAAAATAGCCTCTAGAATTGTAAAGGAATTTCTGAAAAGATATTTACAACACAAGTCAAACTTTATTTCTTTCCCCATAAAAACCTTAAACTAAACAAAGCAAAATCTGTTTTTCCCCCTAAATGCTGTAAATCTGGTTTTCTTCAACAGGATTTTATTGGCTGTATTATATATTGGCTTAGCTGAGAAAAATATATAGCTATGCAAAACCATTTACTCCTAACCCAGGATGTCCTGGGTCTACTGAATCCAATAGAATGCTATACATGTGCATCTGTATAATGTATAGAAGGTTAGCAATCTGATGTAGAAAAAAAAGCTTTTTAACTCAAGTAGGTTTACCTTTCACCATAAGAAAAAAAAAACTTACAAATATTTATTGAAGACATTCATGATCTGTGCTGTAGTGCCCTCTATTGAACACAAAGACTTACTTAAAAATATATAGATATAGATATATATTCATACATATACACACATACATAGATAGCTGCAGTGATTCAGTGTTAGCTTTTAAAAAAACATTAACATTCTTTACATGTGGAACAAAATTCAAAATCATTAAAAAGACTAGGCTTAATCTGATGTGCTGTACAAGTGTCTAATGCTCACTGCTGTCAAGTCCATTCGACTCAGAAACCCTCCTTGGGTTTCTCAGGCCATATCTCTATGGAAGTAGATTGCCCAATCTTCCTTCCGAGGTGGGTCTGAACTACCAGACTTCTGGTTAGCAGTCAAATGCCTTAGGAACTGGTCTGATAGAGACTGGTAAAATTCCGGAGACTATGGCGCCTACTCGCCTTTAGGGTCTGGAATTGAACTCACTCCTGTGGCTTCCAGCCAAATTATAAGGTGAACATTTACACCAAGTAGGTACACTCCTTACATGGGAGATCAGAAGGGCAGTATCTGCACAGGAAGGTACACTCCCAACCATGGGAAATCAGAAGGGCAGTATCTGCACAGGAAGATAGCTCAGAAGGCAGGAATCCATAGGAAAGAGGGACACAGGGAAAAGATACCAGTAGGGAGGAAGTGGGAAGAGAGCTGTTATATTATGGGGATTGCAATTAATGTCATGAAACAAAATGTGTATGAAGTGCTGCACGGAAAATGAATTTGTCCTGTAAACTTTCACCCAAATCACAGTAAAAAATAAAATAAAAAATTACAATATTCTTTAAATTTTTAAGAAATATGAAACTATAAAGCAAAAGTCTAAATATAGGGTAAATAGTAATGGCACCAAGTCACCAAAGAAGGAAAAGTTAGTTCTCACTCTTGATTGAATCAATCCCTAAAATTTAGTAAGAATGCCATTATTCATAGTTGTAGACTTAGAATTTAGAATTTCAGTCTGTAACTTTCTTTTCTCATTACTACTAGCAGAAACGACTACCAGTTTATAATTAATCAAGAGAAAAAAAAAATCCAAAAGGGAGATTAAAACCGAGATGGAGGGAAAATAAATATATTTGAAAATTTCACAATCATACTGACCTAATTTTGCTAGCATTTAAGAGTTCAACTAATTATTACTTGCCAGTTCCTGGGATTAATGTAGTGCGTCTACCTTTTCTATTATTTCCTTTTTTATAAAATTGAGGAAATAATACTCAACTCCTAAGATTAGTGTAAAATGGGGCAATCTACTTCCATAGTGATACTGCCTCAGAAACCCAAGGAGGGGTCACTATGAGTCAGTCCGACTCCATGGCACATAACAATAACAAGATTAGCGTAAGTATGGAGAGAAAACATGTAAAATGCCAAGCACATAGCATGTGTTCAATAACACCATAAATTATTCTTACTTGGCATTTGGTCAAAGAAACAATTTTCTAATTCTTCTATGAGGAGCTGCCCAGATATGTTCTTACCAATTAAATATGTATTGTTAAATAAATGATTTTAAAATGAAAACATGCATGTCTATATTACATATACACACACACATACATGCAGAGACATTAGCACTTTACTTTCAAAGTGTTTGACCATATGCAGTGCTTTTGGTTCACAACTTCAAAACTTACATAAGATCCAAATTTTAAAAATGCATGCTAGAACCCTACAACTCAACTATATTTCACATTCTAATATCATGGTGTCTTCTCTTGCAAGTTCCCATACTCTATAAACAAGCAAAGTGAGACTGTTGATAAGGTGGCCGGCCCTACTTAATGGGTAGCCAATTGAACTTCAGAGAAGGCAGACAGAGGTCAGGATCAGTGCTGAGCTGCACATCACATCCAGTTTCTCACAGTGGACTAGGGGGAGGGAAGGGTGCACCAGGGACAGGGGCACGGAACTGGACCACGAACAGGCGAGCTATACCCCAGAATCTGAAGGGCACAGGAAGGAGGGAGGGGAGAACTAGGAGGGCACTAGCGTTCAGGTCAGCCTGAAGGCAACCATGTGGTATCAGACAGACTCCTTCCTTCCTTCACGTTCAAACCACATAGAAAAAGCAGCTTTCTTTTTTTTTTGTGCAACTCATTAGCTTGGAGACAAATGGTCACATAACACAGTAGAATAAATGACATCACAAGAGAACTCAATGTCTATTTCATGACTTGGCTTCCAGGAGATAAATCCAAATCCATTTGTAATAATCTAATTTTATAATACATATATATATATACACATTACCATCTAGTAGATTCCAACTCAGAGCAACCTCATGTGTTTCAGAGTAGAATTGTGCCCCATAGAATCTTCAATGGCTATAATCTTATGGAAAAAGGTCCCTGGGTGGCACACATGGTTTGTACATGGTTACTAATCTAGAAGTTGGTGGTCCAAATACACCCCACTGTATTATGGGAGAAAGAATTGGCAATCTATTTCTATAAAGATTATAGCCAAGAAACAAAATGGAGTTCTACCCTGTAACACATGGGGTCACCATAGTCAGAACTAACCCAACGGCAACGGGTTTGGTTTGAAATTTTATGGAAGTAGTTTGCCAGGCCTTTCTTCTGCAGAGCTGCTGGGTAGATTCGAACCATCAACCTTCCAGTCAGTAGCCAAGTACAAACCGTTTGCACAACCCATAAACCCCAGCCTATATATAGTATTTTTCCGTTAGAACGGAAGCTTCAAGAGGACGAGGATTTGTGTCTGTTTCATGCAGTCCTATATTCCTGGTGCCTGGCCCAAAGCAACCACTTAATAAATATGTGTTGAATAAATGAACACTGCATGGCTTTCAGAGTCTTTTCTGAGCCATCATTTGAACAACACAATGACCCATGAGGTTGGGAGAACATGCGTTACATTAGCCTATTCATTTTACAAAACCAAGGTTCAAAGGAATTAAGTGACTTTTTCCAAGGACTCATAGTTGGAAAAAGATCAGGAGCAGTAATTCGCAGGAAACCTGGAACCTAGCTCCTAAGCTCCTGACCCAGGACACTTTCCACTATGACATCTGCATCAGATACAACCAGCCAACAGCCAAACTACATAGTCTGCAAAGAATAACCAAGTCCAGCATAACCCGACTGCAGCCGAGTGACACTTGTCCACTAATTTGGGTAGATCAACTGTGGAGGAAAGGGTTGTGTTCAAGATAATGAAGTGATTCATAGTCAAAAATACATGCCACGCCCTTAACTACCAACATAAATAGAGAGACTCATGCTGTCCTTTGACCTCAACTAACGAGAATTTTGCTCTACACAAAACGAGCAGCTCCCCAATGCTGACAGAGACCACAAGATTCGGTCACCCCCTGCCCAGTCCTCATTGGTGATGGCCAGTCTGCAGCTTCCCTGGGGAAGCATCTGGAGCGAGGGGCCACTCTGCAAACCAGAGCTGCAGAGACCATATCTTAAGGTAAAGGCCATCAGCCACCTGGGCCTCATGCAGACAAACAATTAAAATTAGAGCCATCCCCAAGGGGAAGGGCAGAAACAACCTGATCAGGTCTTTGTTCTGTCACACCGGCGATACCCGAAAGAATATCACTGTCATATCTTCTAAGGACTTGGCTCAGACCGTGTCACCAAAATCAGGTCTTCTGCTCACTTCTCTTTTTGTTTCTCTGCCTTCTTATCCTTTCCCCACTCTCCCACAATTTATAATCTTGGATGTTTCTGTATGTCTCCATGACCCCTTCAAAGGAAAGGCACTACGTCAATCTCATAACAATAAATATTAATATTCATGTGCATACTTAATACCCAAAGCCTTGATGAGTGAGCCACATGGGGAGAAGGCAGTATATTATTTCAGGCTAGCTCTAAGGTACTATTTAGTGAACTCAAAGGAGATTACTTCAGACCTGAGAAAGAAAGAAGATTTAGGAGACTGGGGCTTGTCACCAACTAGCTGTGTAACTAAGCTCACTTCCTTGTCTATAAAACAGGAAGTTAGAAAAATTAGCTGAAAATGGTTTCATTTCTAAGTGTAGTAAGATATTTACAAACGCCATCACTTACATAGTGCACATTACATGCCAGGAACTGGTGTGAGTGACTGACATACATTCACACATTTAATCTTCTCAACAACATTACCCATTGTCATCGAGTCGGATCTGACTCATAACGGCCCCTCCTTGGGTTTCTGAGGCAGTATCACTACGAAAGTAGATTGCCCAACCTTCCTTCCGAGGAGCAGCTGGTGGGTTTGAATCGCCAGCCTTCTGATTAGCAGTCACATGCCTTAGGCACTATGCCACCAGAGCCCCCCCACAACCTTAGTATTAACTTTATTTCACAGATAGAGAAATACAGGCAGAGAGGAAATAAAAGATTTGCCCAAACTTCCAGCAAGTAAGTGGCAGAGCTAGGAAGTGAACCCAGGCAGTCTGGCCTCAGAGTCGTCATGCAAGCCGTGGTTATGTACTGCTTCCAATGGAACAGATATTCTAGGATTCCAAAGAGTAGAATAAAAGGGAAATCATAGCAGTGTGGATTCAAATAGCTTTAACCACAATAACCAGCACTGCAGAATAATCTGCAGTTAATCACCCACCGAGAAAACTATTGGAATGCCAACAAATACTCCCTTATAAGCATTCCCTACAAATGTTGTTGTTGTTGTTGTTATGTGACTCATAGTGACCCATCCTTGGG